TGGTGTTTGTAAATAGGATCTCAAGTCCGCATCTTGTACAGCAATTAACCACTAAGAATATATGCAGTGTGTTATATGTTGAAACTGTACTTCCGATTTGATTTGAAACTGTCTCATTGCTGTTTATCAATAAAATTTTGAAAAAAAAAAAGAATTGAAAACTCAAGCCCACCGTAGACAACTCAGTAAAAACTGGGTCAAAATAAGAAAAGACTGCAAATGTGACCCGGTGTGAAGATAGTGGCTTCAATGTTAAGTAAAATAAGAGAAACAAAAACCATACTTGCCCATTCTAAAGAAAATATGCAAGTGGTCACAAGGAAATATGATAACTACAATTGTAGGAACGGTCAGATTCTTGTGGTTGTACATACCAGGAACACATACTACAGAACGGGAAGTCAAGGAAGGCCTCCTGGGGAGCGCACACTGGGGAGATGTTCAGAATGGCCGGCAGGAATAACCCAGGCAAGCAGTCAGGGAGTGATGTACTGGGGTCAAAGAGAAAGGGCTTAGGAAATGTCCTCGACAATCACTCACATATACCATCACTGAAACAAATCAATATTCATTCCCCCTAATTTATCTAGCTTAACCAATTCAGGTAACTGAATCACAAAGAAAGGTACAAAAACACAGACTAGTGAAAGTTGAGTTTGTGTCATGTTTTGGACAACAAATAAATCCTGTTTCATACAACAGTCTTCCTCACCATTGTCTGCCATCATTATAGCAAGATTCTGTCCACCCACCTCCTGCCAGATCATTCCAGCAGCCCCTGACTTGTCTCCCTCCGTCGCTCCACAGCATAGAACTCCACACAGCCTTCTGGAAGAAGTATACTCAGTCCAGCTGCCTGGTGGTTATGTATTTCCTTGATCCAGATCTTCCTCCTAATCCGATCAGCTCCTCAGCCTGCTAGTTAGGGCTTATTATCCATCTGCGTCACTTGAAGTGCTCCTTTTGGCCAGCGGTTCTTCAACCTTTCATCTAATATGAATTGTGGTGCTCTTCTCACCCCTCCAGCATTGAGAGCCTGCTATGTCCCTGACCCTGTTCTCATCACTGAAGATGGAGCCCGACAGGGAGCCAGGTCCTTCATGTGTAGACTTTGCTTTCCCATAGAACAAAGGCACAGAGAAAATGCTTAAATAAATAAATAGGTCTCTTCATTTCAATTAAGACTGATTGTTAAGAAGGCCTATGAGATAGCTCAGTGGACTAAGAGCTCACTTAATCAAGAGCCAAGATTCTATCCCAGCACCACATGCCATGCTGGCCCCACCCCCAGGCATGAAGAGCAGGCCACAGAGACCCAGCATGGTGGTGCACACCTGTAATCCCAGTGCTGGGGATGCTAAAAACAGGAGGATCACATGAGTCTGAGCTTCAGAGTGAGACCCTGTACCAAACACATAAAAAAAGAATGTTAAGAGGTAAATATAAAGATGGTAACAGTTTAAAATGATTTTAGATAAGGAAATGGGAGAATGAGGCTAACAAGTGACAAAGAGACTGAGTCCCAGGCACTGGCAAATGGTCAAAATCCTCTTGTTTAGCTGTTTTGAAATGTGTGAGATAGTGGCTATGCTAATTAGCCCAGTTTACTTATTACATATTGCATACAGTATCAAAACATCCTACTAAACTTTACAAACTTTCCTTCTCTCTTTCTTTCCTTTTATTTTTTATTTTTTAAAGAGCATAAATTAGAATTAAAACAGAAAAAAAATACAAATGATAAAGAATTTCAAGCTCTTGGGAGGCTGTAAACAGGCAGATCATTACAAGTCAGATCTAGTAGTAAGACCCTGAACACCATGTAAACCTTTCCCTAAAATAAAAAAAAACAAACAAACAGAATTTCACTTAACAAAGTAAAATTAATTTCACAGTATTTGTTGCAATACAGCATTGTGTACCAACCAGTTAGTCATATTACCAGATATATGAATGTAAAATTGAAGAACAAAGAAAAAAGGAAAAAAATGTGTAGGAAATTAAGAAGAGAAAAAGTATGATCAACTGAAAAAAGGAGAAAAGACAAATTAATTATTATCTGTTCCTTTCCATAGACCACCAGAAATTTCTTTCTTTCTTTCTTTCTTTCTTTCTTTCTTTCTTTCTTTCTTTCTTTCTTTCTTTCTCCTTCCTTCCTTCCTTTTTCTGGAGAATGAACCCTGGGCCTTGCTTATGCTAAACACATACTCTACCACTGAGTTGCATCCTAGCCCAATCTATACAATTTTTGCATATCAATTAAAAATAAAATAAAACTAAATAACTAAACATGCAAACAAATAACAACCAAAAAATCAGTCATGCAAGTATTAGAGGGAAGAAAGTACAAAATTGAGAGTAGAGACACACTAACATGGCTATAATATTCTGAAAATGCCACTATTTTCAGCATCATAACACAGAGCTACCAACCCCTGTTCCTCGCATGGCAGGAAGCTGGGTTCAGGAGGTGAGCAGAGGGACAGCAGGCAGCTTCGTCCTGTACCTACAGCCAGTTCCCACGGCTCACATCACTGCCTGAGCTCTGCCTCCTGGCACGCAGAGGAGGCATTATAGGAGCAGGAACTCCTGTGAACTAAGTATGTGCAAGATCCAGGTTGCATTCTCCTTAGGAGAATCTAATATGATAATAAAAATAAAATGCATAGCATAATAATACTCACAGAAATAAAGTACACAGTCAGTGTACACTTGCATCATTCAAAACCTATGCCCCCACCCCATGGAAACACTGTCTTCCAGAATACTCTGGTGCCAAAGTTTTGGAACTCACTGGGTCAGTAGATTCCTCCACCCTCTACAAGCCTGCCAGGAACCCCAGGGTCTCCCTCAGTATACCTAGTAAGTAGCTGATAGCTCCAGGAGCCTGCTTCCCTGCACTAAGGCTAGCTTCAGGTTGAAGAGGTATTGTGGGATTGTGTGAGGGTGTAACACATAATGCCTATAAATCCTTGAAAGACCTTTTGAATATGAGAACTTGTAGTAGTTTTTATATGAAGTATGAATTTTTATGGGTTACTTCTGCTAAACTATCTCTTTCATCCAAATCAAAGGCATCCTTTTTCCTCACTCAAACTTGCTATCTTCCCTTCACATTCAGTTGCCAAATACCTACCAGCTTAACAAGCTCAGATAAAATGCCACAATCATCACAAAACTTGTATTGATTTTAGCTTCAGAAAAGCCATTTCCTTTCTCTGAGTAACTCTTAATACATTGTTTATATCATACTATAACTGGCTACTATCATGTGATATAATTTTGTTTACATGTTGGTTTATAAGTTCATTTAGAAAATATTGTCCCAGAAATATTATCTGAGACACTTACAATGTTCTGTTGAACACATGAAAGATAATAAGAATCAAATTACTTTAATAACAATTTATTGAACCAAATATGAGTGAATATTAAAATATTGTGCAATTTATCATGAAATCAGTATGTCAATGAAGTGATATATACCTTTACTGAATATTTAAGGGCTTTTTTTGGGGGGGAGGTATTGGTACCAGAGATTGAACTCAGGACCTTACACTTGCCAACCAGGCACTTATGTCGCTGAGCTATTTCACTCAGTCTTTAAAATTTTAGCACACCCTCTGCACTTAGAGCACATTTCATTGCAGATGAGACCTATTTCAGTTGTTCAGTGGTAGCCACATGTGACCACATTCTTGACCAAGGCAGCCCTGGGACATGTGCTGCACCCTACAACTCTTTGTCTTACTGCCTGACACAGCACAGTCGTTATCTCAGAAGCTCAGTCAATATTTCTTAATTAATTACTTATTTTGCTGATTTATTTAAAATCAGTACGAGGTTTATCCATGGAAAACACATTTCTGTTATACTTAGCACAAAAAGTGAAAGCCAGAAAATAATGATTTTTAACTTTCTTTATAGTATGAGAAGTTTGTTTTTCTTAGAGAGTAATAAAATGCAAAGTCAATTATAGTTCTCATTTTAATAATATAGTTTATATGTACCAAGTCCTGGAAAGAAATTGTATATACAGCAATAAAATGCGTTTATTGGTGTGTTTTCTATGTTTAAGTATATAATCCTAGTTTCTGACCAAAATAAAAAATATTAGATAAGATTAATTAACTCATAAGTCAAACATATAGGGTTTGGTAAGACTTAGTGAAAACATTTTGATGCAATTTTCCTATTCACTATAATTTTTCCTTAAAGTAATACGCTCTGAAATGTATTCGTTGCTTTCATAAATGATTTCTCAGATATTCAGATGCAACTCCAGAAAATGAATGGCATCATTTCCATAGTCATAAAAACATACTGTGAGGAACAGATCAATTGGAATGGCTCTTGTTAGAAAAGCTGATATGAGAAAGGTAAATTCCAAGTATGTATCCTAGCACTAGAAAGCTGGGCCTGCCCACTTCTTCCTTTTCAACTTGGTTGTTACCTTTGCTCATAACTTTATGTAGCCACTTGCCTGCAGAACAGATTGGGCTTGAGGATTATAAAGAATTAACAAGATGTGGTACTGAGAAAAAGTAAAAGAACTCACCTTTGGCAATCGCAATGGTAATTTGCAAATTGGCAACATATAATGGCTTTCACTAAATACAAAAGATTGATCCAAGTTAGAGATTATCTTTTCTTTGGGTACTTTATAAACTACAATTGTCCCCTTGTAATGAGGACAGCTATAGTTTCCAAATTCATCCACTTCTTTGATCTGAAGTTCCAGCCTGGATTTTCTTTGTAAATGGAAAATAAGCCTGTGGTCTTTTTCATAATCCTTCCCATTGCCTAAGTAGAAAGAAAATGAATTTGTTACCATTATGATACATCACTTTGTTTTATCTCTTTAAACATAAGCGATCATTTCACTTTTAAATGCAATTATAGCAACAAACTATTATTTCTTACCAAAACATAACCTGACAAAGAAGCAATAGGTTGAGAATGTAGATTACTAAAAAGGTTTCTCATCTGTCATTTGGCCACGTGCTTTCTGGGTGCTTTTAGTTCTAATAATCTTCAATTTTTTTTCTATTTTGCTGGAATAAGCAACTATTGGAAACATTCAGCTCTCTCAGCATTTAGAAAATGATCTTTGTGCTTCCAAAATGATCTTTTTCCTTTGTCCTCACTCTTCACATCAAATTATACTTAATCACATAATAGTCATTCTAGAACTACACTTTCCTATAACATGGTTATTTAAGCTTACATGAAATTTAATTAAAATTTAATGAACATTGAATTTAATAAAATTAATGAAAATTTAATCCTCAGTCACTCTAACCACATCCAAACTAACCACATCCAAAGTGCTCAATAGCCACAGACCTAGTATCTACCTTATTGACTAGAACAGAGAGGAAACATTCTCACAGTTGCAGTAATAGATATTGGTGTTTCAGAACATCCAAGCAGACCAGTTATTGGTTGTGTGTTATTGAACCTTCCAAGAAAATGTTATGGATGCTTCTAAAACAGTTACATAGATAAAACTTTTTTTTCTGAAAATATGGAAGCTTTATGAACATAATCTTCCACTTTCAAGAAGTTCCCCAGGGCAATCTAGATATTTTGCTTTGGTCTTCCAATAGTAGTGGAGGCTTTGCAATTTATGTCTTCACCACTCTTTGCAAAACTTATAGGAATACAAATGTAGCAGTTATAATAACTTTGGAAAGAAAGATCTAGAATCAAGTCCAGCCTTCATCATTTTCTTCACTTTTCCAGTTTTCAAGTTGTTTTTACAATTTTTGAAGATATAAGTTCCTTATCTTTAAAATTGGAAGAAATAAATTTACCTCTTAGTGTTGCTCTGGGAATGAAATGAGAAAATATGGATGAAGTGTGGCACAGGTCCTCATACACGTTAAGTGCTGAATAAATGATGGCAAATTTCCTTGTACTTGTGTGTTAAAAAACTCAGTTAATATCTTTAATAAATGACAAGGTGAAGTTTAAATATCTAAGTTGAAACTTCTTTCTCCTTCTGTACAACATCATAAAGCTGACTTCCCAGAGCTATCTTTTGTAAAAAAAAAAAAAACAACTTCCATTTTATAGAGTGAAATCAGAGTTCAGTAAGAGAGATAGAACATACCACTGTCATCTCTTTGTGGTGAAGGCCAAAGGTAATGTTGGTGAGTTTTAAATCTGCAAATAGACTTGAACACTGATTTCAGCAATAGCATAGCAGGGCTGGGCATTTGGCTCAATGGTAGAATGCTTGCCTAGTGAACTGGAAGCCCTGGGTTTGGTCCTCAGCACCAAAAACACAAAATAAACCTCCCCTAAAAAACAATTCAGCTCTGCTCCTGCATGCCCGTCAACAGCTGTTCTTCCCATGCAGCCAGCAGCAATCCAGACAAGATGGTGAAGCTCAGAGTGAACAGATTTGGCCGTATTGGACGTCTGGTCAACAGGGCTGTTTAATTAATAAAACTATTAATATTCTGATCTCAGTAGAATAAATTTTAGTCAATTTTTCCTTGCTTCCTTTGAAAGACATCTTCCTGGCAGTGCAGTTATTCATTTAGAATGACTCATATAAAGAATTTAAGGGTTAGGGACGAGCTCAGCTCTAAAGCCTACGTACCATGTATTGGCAGTTTTTAAAGATAAAGAACTATAGTGTAACTTTAAAAGTTATACTTACATATAAAATAAGAATAAACTTATTGAAGATTTTCTATTGATAAATGCTATAATCAGTATTATAAATAACATTATATAAAATTGTTCAAATTGACATTAAGACATAATGCTGTGGGCCAGGGAGGTGGCTCAGTAGAATAAACGCTTCCCTGACAAGCGCAAGGGCCTGAGTTCAATCCCCGGTTCCTCAAAAAAAAAGAAGAAAAGACATAATACAATACTTTGAAGTCCATTAACCCCTATAAAAAAAGGTGTATGTCATATGTACCAAGGAATTATATTATTTTATTAGTTGTCCTGCATTTTGAAGATGTAATAACAAAAGGCACTTACTGCATATTCAATGTATGAGATCAATTGCTGTTTGACTCTTTGAGAATCTCATTCTCTTTCTCAATCTTTATCTGAGAATAGGCACTGGTAGGGTGCTCAGATAGCAGCTGCTCAACAAAAAATGTCATATAAAGAAAACTAAAATTTTCCTGTATTTTGTAAGTGAATAGATATTTTGTAGCAATATAGTTTCTTCTCAATAATGGGCATTAGATGTTTTTCATTGGCTTGATGTCATAGAAAGTACAAACACAGAATGTTTTCTTGCACTTAGAAAAGTCAGGTGTTCTAGCAATATACAGAACAACAGCAAATAACTCCTATGAGAACCACTTGTTTGGGGTACTTCTACAACTCTAAACCATTCTTAACCTCCTCCACCTCAGAGCTACTGTCATCTCTTACCCAGAGACTTTAAAATTGGGAATCTGCCACTCCTGAAACTCTATCCCTTTACTTTTTTATTAGTGTATATTTGGGATACATAATGAATACACTCGCCCTGGGGAAGGGGCACATATACATGTCACATCTTGTTTCCTCCCCTTTATTTTATGGACTCATTTATTTATTCTGTCTACTGCTTCTAAAGTATAATATACAAATGTGGGGGCATTGTTGTATCCCCTTATCTCCTCTATCCCCTCACCACCTCACCTCTCCCACCACCCTTCATAGCCATTATGCCGCTTGCATACCTCAGCATTGTTATGAACTCACTCATTTGCTACACTTTTATTGGAAGTGTTTGATGCGCTGGGCTCAGAAAACATAAGACAAGAAAAACACAGTCATTGTCTCATGAAATTTCATTCCAGTGAGGACTGTAACGTGAGTATACGGGGGAAAGTATAAATTGGAGAAAAATCAAATTGCAATAAGACTTAGGAATAAAAATAACACAAGGCAAATATGAAGATGAAGAGAAGGAAGGCACATCATCTGGAGCTGAGGTTCTTGCATTGCCCCTGTACTGTGGCTAATAATAGTTTGGCAAAATGATCAATTCTTTCTGAGAGTCACCTTTTAAAAGTATAAAATAAAAACCATAGAAATACAAGCAAGGCAATTATATCAGAGTATAGTTCCATCCAACATCTGTTGGGAACTCACTGACCTTGAGTTAAATTCTTGTAAGACATGTTGAAAACGTTGAAAGTTATTATAGTTACAACAGAGGGTGATAACACGGTTCTAATCAGAGGAGTAATTGATACATATGGCTATCCTTTTGGCAGGGCTACTTCCTGCAAACCCTCCCCAAGTTGAAAGTATCATCTTCAAAAATGAAATTAATGCAGTGAACTCACTGAACATCATAGCTTAGCAACCCAGCACACAGTCAACTATCAGTTGTTTCCCCTCATTATTCCGTGGCTTCCTGGGATCTGTGGCTCTCTACTACTACTCAGCATGACAAGGAAATATCATGCCACATATTTCTAGCCCAAGAAAGATCAAAATTCAAAAATTAAAAGTTCAGTATCACTGAGTACATATTACTTTTCAAGTTTCATGACAGAATTAGAGACTGTCACATAATTTATGCTTTTAACAGATCATTCTGTCACTGGATGGGAAGACATTTCAGGTGACTAAAGGTAAGGTGGAGAGTGCTATAGGGAATCCTGCAGTGTGATAGGAAAGAGGTTGCCCTAGGTTGGACTTGGGAAGTAACCGTGGAGAAGACTTCTTAAGAGAAGGTATTTCAGAGTCTGCCCATGAAGGAGCCGGCATCTTCTAAGTAGAGAAGAGACTTCAAAGGAAGAAGTAAATAGTTCTCCTTCTCATCCTTCTTCCTAAAAATTTCTCTCAATTCTCTGAGGGTTTCCTTGATGACAAGAGTTTGAAGAACTTGTGAAGTTGGTAAAATAAATTGAGAGTTGTTTATACTTACTTGAACCAAATATATTTCCAGTGAACCTTAAAAGCAGTTGTTCTCCTTCTCTCACTTGGAAATGGCGAGGTGATTCTGGAAGTCCTCTGAACCCTTCCAAGTGCAAGTTCTTAAGTGTCTGGTTTAAATTTTTAAAAGGCACCACTAAAATAACCACTCTATGTGGATTGTCCTTCTGCTGGGAGAGTACTATGCAGGCCGTGGTGTTGAGCAAGGCTTCCTCTAAGGACTTTGCAAAAGAAACCAAGTGGCTGTTATCCACCATGGAAGAGAGGTGAAGCACAATAAACCTAAACAGAAGAAAAGGAAACACACAGCCTCTGAGAATCCTTCACATCTAGTAATACCCAAGAAATGCATCATTATCTTTTAAAGTAAAAAGTCTGCTGACCCACTGTTTAAACTCATGAACAGCTTTAGTAAAACTGTTGGTAGTCAGAAACCAGCTTAACTCAAACTAAATCCTTTTACCTTCTTAAAGTAATCACATCATCTCAGCTCAGCTCTAAAAATGGTTCCATATTGTAAATTGTGTATCATGTGCCATAATACCAATGTGTCACTCTATGGTGGACAACATATTCTTTGGTGGCCCCGTACAAAAACAATGGAGCTGAAATATTATATGTCTCAATGATACTTTACCAAATGGACATCACAGTGCAACACATTACTCCCATGTCTGAGATGGTGCTGGTGTAAAACTATTGCACTGGCTATTACATAAAGGCATAGAATATACAACTGTGTATAGTACAGGATATTTGATAGTGACAATAAATGACTACGTGACTAGTTGATATATTTGCTATGCTATAAGTTATTATTACTTTAGAGTAATCCTGCTATTTATATTTAAAATAAACAGTTAACAATAAAACAACCTCAGGAAGTTCTCCCTGGAAGACTCTGGAAGGAAGTGGTTATATTCATCCAGCAATGGCTAGAGCTGCCTGCTCCATTTGTGGCGTGTCCATACAAGTGTGCCAGTTTTTAATCTTCTATTCTGTATTTTACTGTTTCTTTTCTGTATTAAGATACACTAGTGCCATGTGTTATAATTGCCTACAGTACTCAATATGTAGTAACATGTAACCCAGATTTGTAGGGTAGAATCAATTGATTGAATATCACTTGGTGTGTAGAGGGATGCACCACTTGGGTTTGAGTTGCCACACTCTTATGTGAGACAAAACGACTGCCTCCTATTGAAATTCTTTTTTGTTTGGTTTGATTTGGTTTGGTTTTTGTTTTGATACATGGTCTTGCTATGCAGTTCAGATGATTAGTGATCCTTTCATTCCAGCCTCCCCAGCACTGGGATCTGGGACCCCAGCACATGTGGTACCAGGGATGGAACTTGGGTCTCTGTGCTCTCCAGGCAGGTGCTTAGACCCCCCAATTATCTCCCCAGCCTCTTCATGCCATTCTTAGAACAGATTACATCATTAAACAGAGCTTGCTTATATTTTAAGGAGCACTGCCAAAGTTCAAAATATAGGAAAAAAGATGTTCCAGAAAATCTATTCACTTGCATAGTATGCAGAATATATAATTCATTAAGTAGAGATTGAAATATTCATCTCTATCTATGTGGTGAGGATTTTAATGACGGACTTGGTATGGGTTGAATTGTTCCCCTGCCGAAGTCACTTGCTGCAATTCTAACCCCAGGACTCTAGTATATTACTTCATTTGAAGATAGGCTCCTTAGAGTGATAAGCAAGTTTTAGTCAAAGCCTTGAACCAACATGACCAGTGACATAAAAGAAAAAATAGAGATTTCAACACAGAAGAAATCACAGCATAAAACACCATGTGAACATGAAGATGACCATCTGTAAGCCAGGGAGATGCCTGGAACATAACCTTCCTTCACTCCCCTAGGAGTAACACCTTGAGTTTGAACTCCTAGCCTCTAGTTATCTGAGACAATACAGTTATTCCTCTTGTTCTGACCACCAACCTGTAGTAGTTCCTTACAATAGCTATGACAAACTAATACAGACTGCATTCTTAGGCTACACCATCATCCCCCAGTTCTTCTACAAAGAGCTTCCCTGCAGGAGCTCTGCATCCAGGGCCCCCCTCTTCCATACCAAGCATGAGTCAAGGTGGGGGTGTAAAGCCAATACCTCTGTGGCTCTAGAGCTCCCCCCAGGTGGCAGGCAGGGGGAACACTTCAGCTGAAATCCAGTCCCATCTTCCTCCATGGCTCTGCCTGCTTCTTTTGTTTTCTCACAGGATGCCCCTGAGGGTACTGCCTCACTAAGTCACTTCAATGTTCCTCTCATGCTCTGTTTCTAGGGAACTTGAATCAAGATAATCACAGATATAAGGTCTTCATTATGAAATAAAGGCTATCTTTAGACATGTAATTGCTCTCCCTCTACGTGTGTCTGCTGCTGCTGAACCTCAAAACTGTCTAAAACTCTCCTCAAAATAGGCTGTCTAGAAAACATGGAAATGAGAAAGCAAAATGAGCGCTCTGCAATAACAAATTCAGGGCCGGGGAGATGGCTCAGTGGAATAAGAGTTCCCCTGAAATAACAAATTCAGTTTTTATATACATAGTTATGAGATGAGCATAACGTGAACAGTTAATTACTATCCCCATGGAATTTCAGCAATGAAGGCACTATTTTAAAGCTATTTTGTAGTTAAAAGAATCCTATGAAAATGTAAGCTTCTGAGTGGCTAGGGTACTAAAGCACTTGTTAAACTATTGTGAAAGAAATTAAACAGCATATTAACATAAATTATGGTTTGCATTTCAAGTGCACCCTACGATACAGTTCATATTCCTGCTTGAGTAACACAAATCAAAACCCATAAATTCATGTCTGCACACCACCATTACAGTCCTGCAGGAGAGAATAGGCCCAACCTCAATTGTTTAGGATATCATTACCTCTCCACATGTTCGTGCAGCTCAAATGATATCGAGCCACTCTGGACGATTCGCACCACAACATTATCAAGTCCAAGCCAACCACTATCATGGCTTCTGAATCCCAGTAATTTCAGATTTTCACAATTGCTGTTCCCAGGTTTTCTTAGGGAAGCACTTTTGGCCCTATATGAAGGTAATAGAAAAGCAATTAGTAAAATTTACATCGCATAATAGCATAACTCATATGATTAATTCATCTATTCTTTCACTGAATAATCCAATAATTATTCATTGAGTAAATATTAAACATCTGAAATTATTCCAGGCAATAGGAATACAAAGATAAGAAGATAGAACACTCACAGTATCACACTAGTATCTACATAATTAAAGGAAGGTATGGGTGGGTTTCATAGCAGAAGCCAAGTACTTGAGGAAGCTTACAAAATGAGAATGCTCATATTAAAGTTGAGACTTAGAGCATCAGAAACATTTTACTCACATTTAAAAGGAAGTTGAATAAGACACTCAAAAGCATCCATGATCTGACATGCACCCAGAGGCACGTGGACAGCCAAGACTGGTCGTGTAGCACTAGAGCTAAGACCGAAACCTGCCCAGTTTCAACTCCTGGGTGGCTCCGCTTCTTACTAACATATGACTGTGGGCAAGCTATTGGATTTCTCTGTATCTGAATTTTCTGATCTGTAATATGAGGGTAATAATAGTATCTATATCACAGAATTAAATGAGTAAATAATTGTAAAGCACTTATAACAAGATAAATGATGTTCATTTTTACTCCAGTTCCTATAGCAAATATAGTCAATGAGCTTTCCTGCATACTTTTCCTTCTGCCATAACTCACCTAATCACAGGCCTTAAAAGAGATTATTGTGGATGCCATATGCTACTTCTCCTCAAGCTAGAACTGATTTGACTGTCAAAGGCAATTTGACTTTCTGTCTTTGGAATTTGACTAAGTCCAGATATCATAACTTGTCACTTGCCTTTGAATGTAGTGTCCTAGAATATAGAAATTAATCAACAGAGTACTTTTAAGGAAAATAAAAACAATGGGTTATAAATAAGAAAACAAAAGAATCAGAGGGTCCATAGTGTCCTCAAAATGAAAAAAATCAGATATTAACTATGTTAATTTTATGATAAAATTTCTTTTGAGGTTATTTAGGTGAACGTCTGTTCTTCACAAGGGAAGGAAGAAAAGACATTGACATTGGACATCTTGGGAGAAATTTACATTGATAATGATCAATATGGGAAAAAATACGCTACAACACTCTCTGTCAATTAAATAGTTCTTAAAGAATTAGTATGATAGAAGACAGGACACATTCAGATTAAAGAATCTGAGAATATTCCTATGTCTGCAGATATTAACAGATATAAACTATTCTCTTTGTATTCATGTTGACTACTAGCCTTCCTAAAATTAAAGCCTACCTGGAAAATAATCAGCCTTGAAAACTAGAGGTCAACAAAGTGAAGCCCAATCAGCCTCTGCTCCATGCCTGCCTTACAGAGCAGCAGAAAGCAAGAGAAAAGTGATGGTGGCTCAGCCCAAGAGAGGCTGATTGGGGCTGGCACTTTTGATCTTCAGTCTTCAAGGCTGATTACTTTCAGGTGAGGTCTTAATTTTCGGGAAAGGGGAAATTGGTTCAGTCTAGCGTGAATGGCACTTGATCAAGCCTTGCACAACATAATGTTTTTATGTCACGATAGTTTCACAAAATTTACTAAACTCTTATTATTTAAGCAGTTTACTTATTTCAGAATGAACAAATTTTACCCAGAGAGTGCCACGTTTTCTGAGGGTACTGATTAAAATGTATAAGCTACTTTATCTGGAAAAAAATAAGATGCATAATTTGGCAAGCAATCATATCATCAAAATTCTCCTATGATATCAAAAGAATATCTCACTTATGGTATGCATAATGCATAGGTATCTAAAAGTGAACACCATTAACATTTCAGGATTAACTTTTTCCCAGAAAACTATAATTTAGTCATTAAAGTACTGATTTTAAATGCTATGCTACTCTCAAAAAATTAAAAAAAAATTTGCCTTATAAATTATGCCTGTCAGTTATAGACTATGTTAAACAGAGAAGTAATAGGAAAGTATACATAGCTGTGTGATCTACAGCCCAATATTATAATGTACTGATAAATTTCTGATAGTCTCTTTTCCAAATAGCTCTTTATTTGGTTTGTAAAAGAGTAACCCATATTCTATGTCAAATTATAGAACCTAATTTTGACATTTACAAATAACAAAATCATTTTGGAGGGCCGGCCAAATAGCTCAGTGGATTAAAGCACCTACAAGCAGGTGCTTAGTTAGTAGGGGGTCTACCGGGTCTTACTGCACAGATCGGACTCCTAGTGATCCTTCTGTTCTCAGCCTCCCAAGCACTGGGATTACCCGCGTGGGCTACCACACCCAGACTCAATTCCTGCCTCAGTGTGCCCTGGGGGCGGGACTGGCAAGGTACGCCACACATCGAACTAAGTTTAAGAAAATGAAGGACAGTATCATAAAATCAAGCAGGCAATGGAAGATTAATCAGAATAATTGAATAAAAGCCAAATTTGAGTGAAAGCTGAATAGAATTTTAATTAAAAAATTGGCAAAAATGGTATATTAACATGATATGTTAAAAGTAGACTTTTTAAAAGTATATAGTATTTTGGGTTTGGGCATTTTAAACAAGAACATGAAGAACTGCATATTGTAGCATATAATAATAAAGAGACAGAAAATATAAGTAAAGAAATATGGAACTTCTAAAAGACAGTTTAATATGCTTCTATGAGAACTCAAGACTGAATCCCAATAATTGATTAGAAAACATAAAATTCTTCAAAAATGCAAAATGAGATGATTTCATTCAATAGGAGGCAATATATTTTATGGAGAAAAGGTTACTTTTGTTATTGGATCTTCTGATTCATGAAATTTTTTTTTCTTTCTGTATTTAGGATAGGGTCTACAGGCTCTCACTATGTAGATCAGACTCTTAGTGATCTGCCTGTGTTCAGCCTTACAAGAGCTGGGATTACAGATGCATACCACCATGCCCAGTCTCAATTGCCATCTCAGCATGCCCCAAGGGTGGGGCCGGCATGGCATGCCAGGGATTGACCCCCAGTCCTTGCACTCTGTGTAAGCAGGCACTTTGATCTGCTGAGCTATTAGGCTGGCCCAAGAAATATTTTATTTATTAGGAACTTTTTATGTTCCAAGACATTTAGCACTTTCTTTTTAAATTTTTTTTTTGTTTTAAAGAGTACAAAATAGAGTTTAGACAGAAATATTACAAGTGACACACAATTTCACTTAACAAAGTAAATTTTTATTTAACTGCATTATAGATAACTACAGAATACTGAGTGCAAAGCAGCCAGCAACTGCAAACTTCACGAATAAACTTAGCAAAGTTTTGTTTATTGCCATCTTCATATCAATAATGGACTCCATGAGGAGGAGCAAAATATCCCCAAAGAGGGAGAGAAAAAAAAATCAGTGTTATTCTAGAATCTTCGGTCAGATATGGTAGGCAGTCTCTGAAGTAGACCCTGAGTGAACTGTGCTCTCAGTTTCAGCCAGCTGTGTGACTCAGCTTTAATCTACAGTTTTCCACAAGAAAGCACTAAGACACTTTACAAAGGTGTCTTCAAGTATATGTGATCCCACAAAAGTAAATAAATGGGGCTAAGGATACATAGTGCAGAGGTAGAGTGCTGACTAGCCTGTGCACAGCCTGGTTTTGATTCAGAACACTGAAAGAAGTTTGGGAGAATAATAGCTACCTTGGTTAGGGATAGGAGTATTTACAGGAGGGAGGAAAGGGATGGATGGGGAGAGATGAGTAATGAATGAGATACAATTTCATTGGTAATGTTTAGATTCTTAAGTGTTAGCTTTAGCAATTGTCCACCCTATTATATAACTTACATATATTTTATAATTGTTCTTGGCACAATTTATGTAGTATATTTGAATATGACATTAAAATATAGTTTTATTTAATGGGTTTCCTTATTTCACCACAATTGGGAAATGTTTTTACTACTTATTAATATTTTATTTTATTTTATTTTATGACAGCATAGGGATCAAACCAGCCTTGCATGATAGGTGAACCCTATACAGCTGAGCTACACCCTGTCCCCACCACATCCATCACAATTAAGTTACCCTCATCTTTTCCACAGAAATCATCAGTGAGAAAGGAACATAATACAATACAAATCACTTAATCTTACTATTCAGACTATGTTCTGGCCTCAAATACTTATTATCTTTTAATTTTATTGGACATGAAAGAAAATTTATCAAGGGTCAGCCAAATAGCTCAGCAGATTAAAGTGCCCACAAGCAGACACAGGGACCAGGGATTCGAACCCCAAGCCTGCTATGCCAGCCCTGCCACTGGGGCACACTGAGATGGCAATTGAGATGGGGCATGGTCATGCGTGCCTGTAATCCCAGCTCTTGGAAGGCTGTAAACAGGTGGATCACCACGAGTCTGATCTAGTAGTGAGACCCTGAGCACCCTGTAGACCCTTCCCCAAAATAAAAAAAAATTATAAGGCATCTATTTCTGAATCATTCTTGTTTCCATAGAAAATGTTCAACTCAATGCTTTCCCTCTTTGAGAAAAGAGTGTCAAATAACAGTTGAGGAGGATTTTTATTTTCTTACTTTTTACTCCACCGTGTGTATAAAACATATTTATTGCTCCTGACACAATAAGAAAGTGTATTAAACTATATCAACTTAGCACAGTCAAAAACTACAGATAATATAAAATAATCTACATTTCCAAAAGCTTACTTATTACATTAATTTATCCAATGTTTTAAGATTTATGTTGCCATCATGCTAAATGAAAGTAAATGGAAAAATACATACTGTGATACCTCAGCTCAGAAACCCTTTTGTTTGTAATTTAGTTTGCAAACACAAGCATTTGGCAAGAATTTGTTTTTGCTTGCAAACTCTACATTCTGTGGCAAATACAGCCACGGCCATCTTTCAGTCACAAACACATCTTTGGCCATCTTTTTCCAAATGTTACAACAGATTAAGTTCATGAAACTGAGGTGTTACTCCATATTATCATTGCAGGTGTACAGGGTGTGACCGAAGAATG